GTTTACATATATTAACCAATGGTCTTATTCTGCTTGGGATTTTAAACAGGATGTTAAGAGATATTTTGTGATGTCTGATTTCTTCCTCTCCACACTTCATCAGCTCAAAGACACTCCCTTCACCAGACTCCTCGCTATCTGCTCTCAACAGGAAATCATGACTCCTTAAAACTCAGACTAATCCCAGAGGAAAACCAAAACAATAGAGAAGTCTTCAAATTAGTTTTTTTTATCCTTTTCTCTTATATTGTTTTCCATCTCAGAACCACATGAAAACCCAGAACACTAGTTTGTCATTTTTATCATTTTGAGAAGAATTTACTGTTGGACATTGTTAATATCCACACAATTTATGATAAATAGCCCATACTTGTGTAGAGCTTTATCAAATCTAAAGATCCCAAAATGCTTTACACATTCTCCCATTAACTAGCTGATGGTGGTAAGGAGTGGTGGACTAGTAGTTGGGGCATAAAGCTTGGAATTCTGAGGTTCTGAGTTCGAACCCCACTCCCACAGACTGCCACTCTGGCTCTCTAAGCAAGACCCTTAACCCCTGATTGTTCCCCAGGCACTGCACAATGGCAGCCCAGTGCTCCCAAAGGGGATGGGTTGAATGCAAAGGTAAATTTCTCCAATGTAAGATCAATAAAGTTCTATCATTATAGAATTGGTGCCACCTGGCCTCCTGACCCCTAACAGCAGGCAATGCAGGTGAAGTGTCTTACTCAACACAAACTGACTAAGAAGGACAGGGTGAACACCTACCTTCTGAGCCACCATATTTGCAAATACAGCACAAGGTTAATACACATTTATGCAAACGATGAGTGTGTTGGTCGATACTGTAGCGCAGGAGCGGAGAACCTACAACCTCTGGGCCATATACAGCCCTCTGTACCATTTTGTCCAGGCCACCTCACATTTTCAAGAAAATGAATGAAACTATTAAAGCTTGGTAAAAAATAAATAAAAAGAAATTAAAAAGAAAAACAATATAAGAAATGACATGTCTGATATATAACTGTCAGTAATGCACATGTCTGACTGAAGTGGATCACATTCTGTGAGCACAGCATAATTAGTTATCTGTCAGCACAAGATGAGTAGATTGGACAGGTGATGATCATGGTTTTATTTTATTTTGTTGTCACAGGCATTAGCAGTGATTAGACAGTCATAGCTGGAAAGACATTACTGGAGTAGGCATGTTAAAATAGAGGAAATAAGACAGCAACCACAAACTGATACAATTAACTTTGTCAGTTTGGATGCACAACAATGGGGGCGACGAAGACAGTACTTGAAACGCTAATTTTGTTGTGAGAGCATTCTTAGCTAAGAAGCTAAAACCTTGCTGCATTTTGAGAAATTAACTGTGAGTGGAACAGACATGTCTTCCAGCAGATATTAACCATCACATTGAGTATGTTTAATGTAGCAATTGTTAAACCAAACACCATGATTTGCTTGTTCTCTCCACGCACATGTAGGTTTTCTGCCATCCCCCAAAAAGTCTCAAAACATTAAAAAGTGTTTTTTTTTAATAGTCAGTGAAGATTCTCAGTCATCCAGGTCATAGTCATTCCAAAAAAAAGAAAATTAAAAAGAATCCGCTGTACTTTGTTTCCAAGTTTGCAGACGTTTCACTTCCCATCCAGGAAGAAAAAGCTTCCTGGATGAAAAGCGAAACGTCTTCAAACTTGGAAACAAAATCCAGTGGATTGCTTTTCAATTTTCTTTTTTGGGGAATTTTTTTAAATTGTCATTACTGTGTGTGCATGGCTGTTTGTCTTGTGTGTCTCTGTGCCATCCTGTGATGAACTGGAAACCTGTCCAGGGTTTACTCTGCCTTTGGCCTTGCACCACTCCCCAAAAACCTTGCAAGAACAAGCTCTAAAGAGACAATGGGGGAATAGATGAAATAGCAAAAGTATTCATTTGCACTGTGCCCCCCTCCCCCCATTTGTTACTTTGTAAAAGCATCTTTAATGATATTACATCTGCAAATATTTCTAGTATGACTATCTCTCTTCAGATCGAAAGACTGAAACTTTAGTCGTTCTTTCAAAGCAGCTCAAACTCAGTCAGATCTGGTTAGGTAGAGGCCTGTAAACAGATTCTCATTTGTATTCTTATTTGCTCTAGATATGCACCGGCTCCAACACACCTTCTGTTCACCTTAGCCTGTCAACAATCCTACAGGTGTATGCTCCCAACAAGGGCTTCCAAACATGCTTATATTTACATGTTTTATCTGCTCAGTGCTTTTGTAAATCAGTGCCTTTATTTGCGGTTTTACTTGCTATTTGCAGTTTTTACCTACTCCTGCAAATGTTTTGCATTTTAAAAGCTTTTATTCCACGTTTTTCTTTCCTTTGCTGCAAACGGGCTGCTGTTTTCATTGTATTCTATCAGTGCCATTTTCTAAGTGCACAGTGTTGCGTTATTGAACTGTGAGCGTTTAACATCTTTGTAGGACAATCTATTCTAACCTTTTGCTGTTTATGTTTTTCGTGTGCCTTTAAACTTTAATGTCAATTAGTTTTGCCACTGGCACACCTGAATTTCCCATATTTCGACAAAAAAAATTATATTTCTTTTTTGTTCAGGGTGGTTTTCCAAGTTCATTTTCTGCCATACATACTGTATAGATTTATGTCAGAAAGGTCAACATCTTTTCCCCCTGTGACGAGCATATTCATCCATATGCATGCTGTTCTTTGCATTTCATCCTCTACATGGTTAATATACTGTAACGGGTGTCCTAATTGTTTTTCTCCTTTCATAGAAGCCACAATTGTAAAGAGTGTTGAAAAAAATTAATATTTCGACAGATTTAGAACCACAGTTTAAAGCATCTCATCAAAAGTTAATATTGAGATTTTGGACTGGATATAAATATATATTTTTAAAATCTTAACAGTGAAAAATGTAACTGTTCACCATAATACTTCTACTGTGCAACTATGCACTAATTTGAGTTGATCTACCAGATTAAATCTGAATAAATACGCTCAAGCTTTTGGTTATAACATGAGAAAATTCTACATTTTTAAGGGGTACTAATACCTCTTGCTAGGCACCATCCACGATGGATTATAAAGCTTAAAAAAAAAAGAAAAAAAGACTTTTGAACAGTTTCAAATTCCTACCAGACTTCAGTGCCTGTAGACATAGTGGAGCTACGAAAACCTTATCCAACGGCTCTCTGAAACATTGTCAGGTTGTCCCTGTGGGGTCTGTCTGATAACAGTAGTCTTGTTGATAACACTATCCCAGGACTCAGACAACTTTAGACCATGCCAACACCGTAAGCTGCCTCATTAATCTGCTGGCTACTGGCCTATCACAAGTCCGTCACCAGCCCAGCGGCACCTAACCAGCTTCAAACCACTGCCTATCACTACTGTCTTACAGGCAACAAGGGGAATAATCAGCCTGCTGTCTACAGGCTGCAGACCCTCCACTTTGTTTGTTTGAAAAAAAGGCAGACCTTTTTAAGGTAAATATTTAAGACGAAATACCGTTTGCTTTGTGAGCATTCCTTGTGAAATTTTAGAAGAATTCTATGCAATCAGTTAGCTACAAAATAAATTTATGCAATAAAAATACTCAAAACATGAAACTTAATTTTAAAATTTCAAGTTTAGTTTAATTAGTTTACAACAAAAATTATATTTCACTTATTTCAGCCTTGATAATAGATACAACAATGAAATACAATGCTGCATCTCTATAGCCAGCAATATAAAAGTGCATTAGGGTTTTTTTCACACCAAGTTTGTTTACTTTAGTCCAATCAGTTGATAAGTTTGTTAACTTGTGCATTTGTTTGCAGTTGGGATATTCTTTTCCATACAGATAAAACTTCGGGGGGAAAAAAAACTCTGCCTACAAACCATGAAAGATGGTTTTGTCTGTTTATTGGTGAATATACAGAGAGAAGAGGATCTGTTTTGATCATATCGTTTCTATGCCAAGTTATCTGAGAGGCATTTCTAATTACTTTTGAGAACGTGCTTTAAAAGTTCCATCAGGCTTTATGCTTTACAAAAAACGTAGTATAATTTCTTAGCTTGTTTGCTTTAAAGCATCCCACAATGCAACACACACCTGTCTAAAAGAAAATTGAGAGAAAGAGCGAATATAAAAGTGTGATAGTGTTTAAACTCCTTCTGTGGCCCTGATTGTAAAGCAGGGGAACAGATTAACTGTAAAACTATCAAAAACCAAAAAAGAAGACTTAACGCTCAAGATAAATTATAAACAATGGACTTAAGATGATATGAAAAAGTAGACAATATATAATAGCACCTTTAAAAAGCCCAGAAAATTGTCAAAAGGCATTCAGAATTACTATAAAGCCCCATCTCCTTAAACAAAGTCTAAACATATGACAAATAAATTCAAATAATGAGTATAAAATCATCCCTTGAATTTTGTATGCAGGGATATATATATCCTTATATATCCCTATATATATATATAAATAAAATTAGATTATCACCACTTTGGAAAGTTTGACAAACGAACAAATAAAAATTGAAAGTATGTCTCAATTTACCATTCGTTCATGTTATAAGAAATCAAAAGGAGGAAATATATCTTTTTATTTTTAGGATGAAACACAAATAAGAGAGGATAATAATGTTTTACCTGTTGGCATTACAATATGAATCTGACTGCTGAATGTTCTAATTAACATTAAAGTGAAATGTATAATATGGACTAGACTGGATTGATTTAATCATATTTAAGAAAACAACTGAAACCTTTCTTATAAAGTGCATAAAAATAGCCTGTTTTGAATTGTTTCAAAACTAAAAAAAACTCTTAACATGAATATATATATATTTTTTACTGTAAATGTATATCACTGCATATATATTCGACAATATGTTCCTAAGTAAATTAATCAATGAGGATATCTATTTTAATTATCATTATAATTTTTTAGGAGAAAAAAAGCAAAAAGCTGCAGGTATATATTGTCTTACCTGGTGCCTCCAAAGAGGACGATGCGATCTCCAACCATACAACAGCACTGCCGCCTCCGTGGACATGGGCCTTTCCCCTTTGGCTCTACCTTTTTCCACGTGAATGCCTCTGTTGTGTATAAATACAAAAGAATTGAACCTCAATATAGTTTAATACAGTACCTATTTTCCTAAGATTTCTCACAGTATAAATTGTCTTTAATAATCTCAACAAAATCATTCAGCTGCCCATTAAATGAGGATTTGTTAAAGCTACATAATTTATTCTCAATTACTTTAGGTTACATAACCTAATACGGTTTTCTTTATTGATCCTGCAGCTCACCAGCTTCCTTCATTAACAACAGCCTTAGATTTTAAATAACAATTAGAGAGAAAACAACATCTAATCTTATTGTTAATTTCCTTTAAAACATGCTGCATGAAGCAGCTAATTAAAATAATAAAATAATTCCTTGAAAACTTTGTTTCCCTCCAGTGTCTTCTTTTTATTAATATAAAGCCAAAATCCTGGAAAGTAGCTCATGTCTAACATCCTGTGCTAATGTATCTCTTTTAGTTACAGGAATGTATTGAAATCCAGTGATTTGTCTAGATTCCAGCCATCTATGAATGACAGCCTTCATATTTTCACCACAGCTACTTTTTGCTGCTCTGCATCAGAGAATGAGTGACGTTGATGCTTCCTTGTTTTGGTCCATATAAGGCTTAATCACAGCCTCACAGTCTCATTCTCAATCATTACTATATCTCTATAGCAACTAGTCATTCAAGCTTGGATCACCACAATTAAGGTGCTGCCATCTAGTGGACGGCAAATCTTTTGTATGAAGAGGTAAATAGTTGAGGTCTGGTTTACTCAGTTCAATCCACAATTCTGGGTTTCACAAAAAACTTTGAAAACGACTATGTATGAATTTTAATTCAGCCCCTTTACTCTAGAAAATTAAGTAAAAAAAAACTGCAATAAATTCCAGTCATGACACACTTAGTGGGACAAAAAAAAAAAAGAGAATTTGTGATATTTCACCTAAGAAAAAGGAACACAGCAGACAAGTCCAAATATTTCTTTTAAGCAGGGTTAGGTTCTTAAACAATAAGCACAGTTTCCAACATATCTGGTAATTTTGGTCATTAATTCATCTAACAAACAAAGATTAAGGTCTGTCTACCTACTGTTAGATCTTAAAAAGTTCGAATTTGGTAAAAAGGTTGATGATTTTGGTCACTTTCAGTTTTGGAAAGCGAAACTACAGTTTTTTAGAAGATTAATTACGCAGAGGGAAATGTTTACATCTTTATTTCTTTTAAGTTTAGTGATTCTGGTTTAAAGATGAAAACTTGAAATTCTGTCATAAAATTTTCATATTAAAAAAGAACTTAAAAAATAAAAACATTTTTGTAATGAGAAAATTATGGCCAACACAATTGTTGCAAAGACTGCTGACTTGACAGATGTCCACAAAGTCACTGGAGGGCGCGCAATGAAAGGTCATTGCTGAATAACAAGAAATTTAACATTTCTTTCATAAAGACAGCCCTGAACCAGAGACAACATCAAAACTGTCTCATCTACGATAAGAAGAAAATAGCTTGATTGATGCTCGATGGACAAAAATAAAAATGTATTTATTTATTTATTAAATTAACATTTGAATCTCATTTGGAAATCAAGGTTCCAGAGTCTGAAGGGAGACTAGAAAGGCAGTGAATCCACATTGCTTGAAGTCAACAGCTACGTTTCCTCAATCTGTAATATGAGGCACCATGTCATCTGTTGATGTTGATCCACTGTGTTTTCTCCACAGTCAACACAGCCATCCAGCATGAAATTTTAAAGCACTACAGGCTTCCTACGGATTTCATTTTTCAACAAGACTTGGCACCAGCCCACACTTCCCAAGGTAAGAAAAGCTGCTTCAATGGCGAGCTAACTGCCATGACCTGAAACCAATAGACCAGTTGTTCCCAACCTTTTTTGACATGTGTACCCCCTTTGGGCATTTTGTTTTCCATACTATAAATGTGATTTTGTAAAACTAAAGCCCTTCTCAGTAACTCCCTGCAATCACAATTAAACTTGAAGAAACTGCGACCAAAATGCTGAGCATAAATGATTTGTTATATATTTTGTTTTCATCATTCATGACACCTGAGCTTGCTTTGATCAGGTGTGGAAAACTGCAAACCCCAGGCTGTTCTCTACATCCAGTCTGTTCCTCTGATTGGTTTTGATGTATGTCAAAGCTGAAGGTGAACTCAAACATATAAAAGTAGAACAGATCCCGGCCCTATCTTATTTCATTACCTGAGAAATAAAGTATTTTCATGTACCCCCTGCAATGCACACCACTAAGGGTACGAGTACCCCCTGTTGGGAACCACTGTAATAGACAATCTGTGGAGTATCTTCAAGAAAAAGATGAGAGACACAGGACTCAAAAATGCAGAGAGGCTAGAGGCAGATATCAGAACTTCATAGGCCTCCATCACACCTCAGCAGAACCACAGCATGATTGCCTCCAATCCACAATGCACTAGGGCAGTAAGTAATGCAAGAAGATACGCAACCAAGTACTGAGTAAAGAAAAATGAACATTAGTTTAAAAAGCCTGACATCTTTGCTTGTATGTGCAAGTTTTTACCATCATCCAAAAAAGGAATAGAATCCAAATATCACAGGTGTATTTCTTTAGCTATAGCAGGAATGTCTTTGTTGCCACAAGAACACATTTTATTCCCCCAAGAGAAAGCAATTAAAGTGACATGAGAGCTGACATTTGTCACTTCTCTGGGGCTGAACTGCTGACAGGTTTTCATCTGAGTAGTTCTAGCCCAACAGATATAGCATCTGGGTAACAATGCGCAATAAAAAGAGAGCAGCTAGACAACATTGTGAAACTGGCAATAATGTTGTAGGGGTGGAAGGACTGTCTGCAGATAAAAGGGGAAAAGTGGGTCAGTGCAAATAGGCGCTGCAAAAGCTGCATTTCTCCTACAGATATAAACAGAGAACGCATGAAGGAAGAAGGGCTTCTTAGAAGGATACAACAGCAGCAAACAATAACATAACACTTTTGCCCAGATAGAATCAAGGAGGAAAGAAATCACCTGGATTAAATTTCCAAAGATCATTGAAGTGCCGGTCCAAGCGGGCATTGTAACCTCCAAATATGTAGAGCTCCCCATTGTAGCAAACTGAAGACAAACGAAAGGTTTTATGGCACATCACAACGATAAACACTTAAATAAATGTGAGTGAAAAAAATAAAAAATAAATAAATATATAAACTCTTTAAATAGAGCATCCTGGTAACTTCATAGATGTGATTGTCATAATAATTTGGTTCCTTTTTACCCAGAGTGGAAAGATTATGCCAACAATTTTTATTCATTTCCAAAACACGTACTCTTCACATGCTGAAACTGTATCATAGACGTTTTTTTTCCATTTTAAAACAGCCATTAAAGCATTTGTGTAGGTCCTCTAACAAGTTCTACTTAAACTGCATGCTTTCCATTGCCATCAACAGACTTAAGTATAATTTTGCTGTGTTTTTAGCCACTTCTTCAGAGTTTTTCTTAACGTATAATTTGCCAACTTTGAAGGATCTGAAACCAGTTTTAATGTTCAAATTTTCAGACAGAAGAATGTGCTGAACATAATGCCAGCACGTTGTTAAAACTAGTAAAAAGACTAAGAAATCTTCTCTGGAACTTGCATAGAGATGTTCATCCAAATATTGGTTGTTGTGCTTATATATATTTCAACATATAAGCTCATTTTTGACCATGTCTGGATGAAGAAGAAAAATCCCCAAATAAAAGTAATTGTGCATCTAAATCTGGATTAGTATTAGTAGATGTGTATAATTACATGTGCCAAGAGAAAACGTTGTGCACATGCATTATGAAAATTCCAAAAACGAATGTGACATACATGCACGATATGAATATATGCATACTTTTCAGCATCTTTTCATCACATGAATCTCAGAATAATATTAAAATCGTAAGGAAACAATCTTTCCAACCGTTGCATTTCCGAATTCTCCCGAGTGGTGCACGACTTTACACAAGTGAATAAAATGAATGTGATTGGTTGATTATCAAGGGGACGGGATTGTTGTGGCTGAAGGTTTGCAAGCAAGCTTGATTGTGGCCGGTCTATCAGAATCATCTTGCTAACCAGTTAGCAACTTAGTGCTAGGAGGTTCCCAATGGGAAATTACATTGGGACCAAATAGCACTATATTGGTGACTTAAAACGACACTGTCAAGGAACGTTATGGACAGCGGAAACATGCAAGAGGAGGAGAGTTTAGTGTCGGAGTTCGTGGATGAGTCTCCTCCATCATACATTTTTTATTTAGAGGAGGAAAGCGGGGACGAAGTTGTTGTGGAAGAGGACGCCAGGGCGGCTGAAGCTTGGTTTGAGCCCTTGCCTCGCAACGCTGCTTGTTCTGTTAGCTCTACGCCTGCCGAAGACACAGACGTCCATCCCCGTGAACACTGGGATGAAACTCAATGGCAAAGGAAATTATTCTCATTTCTTATTTCAACCGTTGGGTATATTAGCTACGACACATGAATCAAGATGCTATAACCGAAAAAATTTGATTAACATTTGCTCCGTTGCTATATGTGATCGGCCAAATTTAGGTGTACAAGCTGATGTATAACTAACTGGCCTGCATAAGATAACCAAAAAAAAAGATTTTAAGACAGGATTTTTTTTTTTTTTATAGAAATGTTCTAAATTTTGGCGCAATATTGTCTGATAAAGAGTACACTAATATACATGTTTAGGCCAGAATGATTTGACATTTAAATATGATTTCCCTACGACTTTAAAAAACTTATCGTCTTACAATGAACAACTTAAATACAGAACTAAACATTTCCCAGTGTTTGTGTGTGTGTTTGTGTGTGTTCACGTCTCACAGGCTGAATGACTCCTACGTCCCTCTGGCGATAGCTGTGTTGAGGGCGTGCTCAGCCAGCAGTTGGTCTCTGTGTCAAACACTTTGATCTTGTTGCAGTAGATCTCGTTGTTGGAGTGAAAGGGGCCGAAACGGTCTGCCCTCCCTCCAAACACAAACATTTTTGTCCCAATGATGGTGGCAGAGTGGAAGTCTCTCCATCGTGCTGGATTTCCCTTTACAGAAAGCAAAAACATTACTGATAAGATTACTGTTGCAAAACTGTGTAAAGAGTAAAGCAGTCTGCAAACAAACGTTTGTGTGAAACCGCTGCAGCAAATCAGGATGTTACTGATTATCATAATCTGTCAACAACTACATCTATAGACGTCACAATTATTCTGAATTTACCTTTATTTTGAATTTGTAACCTTGCAAATTTCGCAGTATTAATTGCATAATTTTTATATTTGCAGCAAAAGTATTTGATACTTGGACTTTTACAAGCACACAAAGCTCTGTGAATTTTACACCTTTATAAGGAATATATGGTCCAAATACCATCTGTCTGACAACATGAACAAGGCTGAAATATGGAATAGTGGTAAACAGCCTACAGAAATTATTCCAAGATTGCCTCTATGCATCATACAAAAGAACAAAACAAGAACAGAGAAAATCTATAGCCCTGAAAGCCTCACTTGCCTTAGTTAAAGGAAAGCATTGGCCTCTATGGGAGAGTTCAAAGGCCGAACCACTGCTGTGTTCTGTTGCATCTGGTGTACAAGTAAAGGCATTTCAGAGACAGAGTGATCAGACAGCGTTATAGAACTCTGCTTATCTCATAAATGGGGGAGACAGACACAGCGGACGCAGGGGTATATGCTATAAGCCCTTTCAGTTCGTTTTGTTTAAACTGACTTCAATAGAAGCAGGTTATCAAAGCAACAGACACCTGTTTATGTCTGCATTGCTGTTTCTGTGGGCGCTTCCGTTAGGGATTTGTCACAGTTCGGATCCTCCAGTAGCTTACAACGTCATGCAATTAAAAGGTTTTCTAAACTATTTTATGTTGTTTTTGGTGAGTGAGAGAGAAGAAGCACTGTAATAACATTTAAATGCTCAATTTCGATTCTGTCTTATCTGTTCGATCAGTAGCTGGGAAACTGTCCAAAGGAAGCAATCACATTGGGATGAAGAGTGTTTTTCATCAAAGCAGACCTGGGCAAATAGCGTCAAGTTTGATTGAACCAAATTGGACCTGAACATGAATGGGTCTGAAATCTTGCCTTTATTTCAAATATTCATTTTTGGGAGAGATTGGAAATTTACATAAATTCTGAAAATCTGTCTGACCGGAGGGGATGATCAAAGTTCTTTGGGTAAAAAAACAGGGAGATAAGGAAACGTTAGTTTAATCCTCAATTTTAAATATTAGGAAGCAGTCACTACAATAGCTGATGATTGGCATGTCGTCAATCAAATGTAGTGATACTAGCGTGATGGTCTGGGGCTGCCTTGCTTTATCAGTACTTTAAAGACTTTCTGTAATTAATGGAATCATGAATTTTTTTTAACTACCAGAAACCTTTCAAGAAGAAGGTCTGGCCATCTGTTTGTCACCTTAAGGTCAACTGTGCTTTGCTTATGCAGCAGGATAATGACTGAAAGCACAGGTTCATGTTTGTCAGAATCTCTCAGACAATAAATAATGATTTTAAGTGGCCTAGCTAAAGTGTGAAAAAAAATGCCCTTTTGCCAGAATTCAGACAATTCTGAAAAGAATAGTTGGCCCAGATTCCCACAGGTTGATGTAGTCGACTCAGTTATTAAAACAAGCTGTTGCCAAAGAAGGCACAGACACGAATGGAAAAAAAACAAAAAAGCTTTTTAAAATATGACATGCAGTATTTTGGCAATCAAGTAAAAACTCCAACTACTGAAATTGTTTGTATGTCAACAAGCAAAATAATTAAGAAATTTTGAGGAGACCCACATATAACATAAATTATTAAAACTTGATTGTTTTTTTTGTTTTTTACTGGGCACTATTAATATCAATACTGGGCAATCTAATATTACTACTAAAAAAATCCACAATTATCTAGGCTTAAACAAAACATTTAAGATCAAATACTGTTTTAAAGGCTTCTCACGCTGACAAAAAGACCAACAGCACCATCTAGTGGCACTAATGACTGATTGCAAAATAAAAACCAAAATCCTACTTTGCAGACTAAACTGTTATAAAGGGGATGGAGTGTATTGGTATAATCCGGCTCTCTGTTGTTGCGAAAGAACAAACATACAAATGCTAAATGGACTTTGTTTCTAATGAATAGCACTTTGCAAAACAAAACAAAAAAAACCTCTGCTCCCTGCACATTTAGCTGGCTAAAGCCTTTCACATGCCTGCACTTCCAGAATGCACAGGTGTTTTTTTTCTCCTGCTATTATGCAAGAAGAGGCCCACAATAAATGTCATTTGAGGATTCATACCAATACAGCTCAGAAAAAGAAAACTAAAATTATTCATTATTTATTATACATTTAATAAAGTATTAATCCACAAAGGATTCAGTCTTTAAACTAAACATTTCATCTTTTTGTAATCAAATTTCCTCAGCGTGAAACTAAGCTTTTTTTTTTAACACTGTGGTAAAATAATTCATTTTATAGTCCTGGCAGTGTTTGCATACGTTTCCACTGCTTTAGGTGAACTAAGTGAATCTAAAAACCAAGACTAGCTTTTACACTCACTCTGGCATTAATTAATGACCAAACCATGGTGGTTGTATCCAGCCGGTGGATGTCATTAGAGAAGCAGTCAGCCTAAAATGGTAAAACGGGAAATACATTAAACATCCAATGCTTTTTTAAAAAGCACTTAAAAAGTAAATAATACACATACTCACCAGCTGCTCATATCCTCCAAAGATATACATTGTCTTTCCTAGCACACAGGCTGAGTGTCCATCCCTCGCACCAGGAACTGTCCCTGATATTTTGGGCGTGAACCACCTATGAGTATCTAAGAAGCACAAACTGGTTAGAAAATTCTGACATTTAAGTCACATGCTACATCATAAAACCCACCACACACATCTGCAGGTGTTACAGCTTCAAACTTAAGCAGTTTTTTCACCTCTCTGCTAAATGAACACCGACATCAAACATTTGCACCTGAGAGGAAGCACAGCGTCTAACATTCACTCGAAAGCATGAACGAGACAAGGGTCTACTTACTAACATCAAAGGCATAGAGCACATTGCAGGCCCCCTCTGTGTCGTTACGCCCGCCCCAGAGGTAGATGGTATCATCCAACAGCACAGCTGTGTGGCCATAACGCATGTAAGGTACTTCGCGGGCACGTTCATTCCCCCCTGTCCTCACTGGGGGCAACTTCATCCAGCGCAGAGACACTGCAACACAGAACATGTCAAATACAGTTACTTCAATTCATTTTTATTATTATTATTTAATATATGCTCAATAAACATAGATTAAAGAGTCAAAAACTGTAAAGACAATAACTACCCGAATCATCAAATATATTGCAAAAACTGATGAAGAATTTAAAAGGCTGAGAAATACAAATTGCTGTAAGTTACATCATGTGGAAAATAAATTAACTGGATTGTTTAAAATCAGCTGCAGAGCTAGTTCTACACAATCTTTCTAGGCTACAGCAACAGAAGGTAAGATCAAGCTGCATGAGCAACTGAAAGCCTAAAGCAGCTGGCTGACCTGACAGAGGAAAAACAGTAGTATATGGGTCAGGAGGGTGTAACGGAGAAAGTTGTATATGAATCCTGGTAAAACGCTTAAGGATTACAGCTGTGTTTCTGAGTCAGTAACCGAAAACAATAAACATAAACAACAATACAAACCACAATGGAAATCTTGGGAGTTTAACTGTTAACCACAGTTAAACAGGTGGAGCTTAATCATACTGAAACAAGATTTTCAGCCAGAAGATAAAATGTGGAAGCTTACTTGTTGGTTCCCAAATAGTAATAAACCTGGTAAAAGTATTGCAGTATATAGAGATGTTAAATAGTTACAGCCTCAAAACACAAAACCTAACCACACCTCGAGCCCCGGAGGGTCACTGGAGATTACTGGCCATCATTAACCAGATTCTGATGGAGGTTTGTTCCTGATTCAAGGGCCTTGTTCCTTTCCACTAAGAGAGGTGTACTGTATAGCTAAAGGTAATGAATCCATGCAAAAAGCTAAGGTTTGTAGCTTAACTTTTACAACAAATGGACTGACTAGAAAACATAGATTTCTGTGCATGAATTAGGGTTGAATCAATTAATCAGATTAATTGCAATTAATTGATTTTTTCAATAATTGTCAACTAATTTAGTAATCGATTAATCATTAACTGGAGTGTAGAGACTAAAACATGCCTTTAGCTGACAAAGCAAACCAACCTAAAGTAGTAATTATGTAAACATTTAAGATAAAAAATATTTTCTCCTCTGTCAACATGCTCTATCCACAACTCCTCCACATGGTTCCACATGGTTTAATTTTGCAAAAAAAATCTTCTTTAAACAATCTTTTTCTATCTGATTATTAATCGAATAATCGGAAAATTAATCTACACATTAATTGATTTAAAAATAATGGTTAGTTGCAGCCCTTACAGTATATGAATATATTCTATTTGTCAGGCAAAGTGTCATAGGGAGACATTTGCTGTAATATTGACATATATAATAAAACTAACATAAATTTCTTAATAAAAGGTGGGGGTTTTATGCTTATACATTCCTATGCATAACCTAAATAATCGCTACATCAAAAAATGTCTATAATTATTAAAACATTTGTTTACCTGTCTTGACATCAACATAAATCAATGATTTGTTGAATGTAAAAGAAAACATCTCTTAAAATAAAATTATTGTTTAGTTGTTTCCAATCTATGTATAACTGCTGTGATAATGTAGCATTGTTACTTATCTCTTGATAACCTCATACAAGCCTAAGCATAGTTTGCTTCTGTTTCAAAAAGTAAAAATGACAGATTTCTGAGTCCAACTACAATAGGCCAAGTTTTCCAGATATTCCAAAAGCAAATAAAAAAATAATAGATATCAATGACAGCTTCAATAATCCATGTACTACTTTAGTGTTAGTTGCTACATCAAAGTTGTAATTTTTTCCCTAGACTATTGAAAAGTTAACCAACTAGAGCACAAACATTCCACCTGTACCACCAAATTCCTCTCAACAATTACCTGAGTTGAAGACATGAACATCAATCTGACGTAGTGTCTCGTAGTCCTCCCCAGAGCAGTAGCCTCCAAAGGAGTAAACCTTGTGCCCCACCGCCACAGCAGCATGGTTGACTCTCCGCGGCCCTCCTTCTAGGTGCACCGACCAGCGCAACATGCCAGGCGCAAGCACCTCTTGTGACTGTGAGTCTTTAAACCATCACTTTGTTACCAGCTTGGACTCCGATAAGTCCATACAGTTGATTCCTGTTGCCAAAACAGCAGGAGTTACAACAACACTCTGCAAGACAGGACAAAAAGAAACCCCAAAGTGTGACTACGCTCTTGGATAGCTGAGCTCCGAAGTCGCTGACAGGCTCACAAGCCCCTGTATCTGAGCTGGGAGAGTATTTTAAGAGGTGATTAGACCTACACCTACCAACCCTCATTCTTTCTGTTCACTCCCCCTTTCAGGGACCTCCCAGCGTTCTCAAATGGGCTCTCATAAATACATATACCTCCACATATAAAGTTGAGAACTGCATCAATGTTTAGGTTGTATTTCAGCAGTTTTGCATGAAATAAGCAATCATCCTTTAAAGTAAGGTAAATTCTATTTAGGTATTTTTAATGCCAGTAGTTGGCTGTTCATGAATACTTAGTGGTAAAAATTGACTAAAACATGTCTAAAATTGACAAAGAACAGCTTTCTGTTAAGAATGATACAAGAAAAATCAGAGTAACCATAATGATACACAATGTATTTCCTGATTGTATTTGTCTCAATGACCTGATTACTCCCTGACCTTCAACCTTTTGTATGCTCTTAAAAATAAAATCCCCAGATGACTATTAAACATAGATGTCTATTTTAAACCAACATACTTCGGAGGATCAACATAACTCACTCCCGCATCTAAGAGGAAATCGGTGTCAGCTTAAAAAAATATTTTGTTTATCACTTCATCTTTGTTTTGTAACAAGCTGTTACCAACAATGTGCCACGTACCTTCTAGGCACAACATGGGTCAAACTGACAGGTTATGTAAAGCTCAGAGTGGCTGTTCCTGTAAAGTGATCTGAACATGTAACCAAAAAAAAGACATCCATCTCAAATTATGACATTTATATTATCTTATATGTGCCCAAAATACAGTTAAACAATGATGCACATCCTGACCTACTGCTCTGCAAAATAACTAATATAACATAAGATGCTATGACACGGTAACAACTATCAGATAAGGCTACATTTTAATAATTCAAGTTGAATCACGTATAACGAAGCAATTTTAAAAACAATTTCACAATTAGCCTAGATGCATTTACTTTGAGGTCTGTCAGATAAAGCCGAGATAACGACCCACAGCAGCTACCATGGCTGGCTAACGTTATCAGTCAAAGGAAAACAGGGTTCTAATAAACAAAGCAGCGACAGAGCAAGGTCACTTGTTTTTTTTTTCACCATGACCATTTTCGGAGCGTCCAGAGGGTATAGCCTATCAAACGCACAAAAACAGCGATTCGATACCCTGCTGTTAAGCAGAAGCTAAGCTAAAGCTAATCAACTGAAGCTAATTGCCTGACTTAGCTGCTAGCTTGCTACCACTACTGCATAAAAGGAACCAGCAATAACAAAAACAATTGTTTTCATTCACTACAATCTTAAATGTTAAAAATTTCCAATTTCAAACATTGTAAAACGAGCATGGAGTTTATCTACCTTTGGGTTGAGGAGCTGGTCGTTAACTGGTGTTTATACAGGCTAAACCATCCAGTAAGAAGAGCCCTTAGCGTGATGTCATGACAGGGGAGCGAATGACAGCCAGCGCCCCCTGTCGCTGGACATGTAGGTTTTCACCCTGAGAGGAGCAGATTTTTAAAAAAAGATTTCTTCACCTTTATCTGTCCGTCTTATGTAAAATAACGATTAGGAGGCTTTGTACGTCTACACATTTTTGTTAGGATTCCTGACATTACTGACGACTATGGGAAAGTTTTAAGCAGCGTGACCGGATGAACTTGTTGTGTTACTGCAGGAAGCAGATCAGTATCAATTAGTCAGTTAAACGTCTGGAAGGCAGACATAAAAACCACATTTTGAAATTATTAAAACCACATAATCCAGTCAAAGAAAAAAAAATTGTCTAAAGTTCTTTCAATGTAACATTGAACCCATTTTAACATGTTTTTGATCATGGTGTATCTAGGTTAGATTTATGGGTTGTTTTTTGCTTACAACTTTTTAAGCTTTTTGAAAATTAAAATAGGAAAGTGATTAATGCTCTCTGATGGCCCCTTCCACCGTGTTTTGCCACTGTGCTTCTAATTTTACCCTTTCATCATTGCACTTAGACCTCCTGGCTGATGTCTGAAGTTGTAGCTACAGTAGTTCCACATTATGTTATTTTTTTTTATTATGACGCTATCTATTTTATGTAGCATGATTATCCTTACAACATGAGGAAAGAACTTGCATGGAACCCTACCCTTAGCAAAAAGTAGTATACTTGAAGTAAATTCTATTAATACTTAAGTATAAGTTTAGAATGTATACCGAACAATGTACTTTTAGTGTACTTAAAGTATTACTAAAGTAATACTTCTTCGAACTAAATTGGGATATTTTTAAGTTTACTAAAGTATACTTTAAGTATACTTTGGTAAACAATAAAGTAAACAAGAGTATAGTCAAGTACACTTGACTATACTATTGTTAAGTATATGAAATATAGTTTAGCATAAGTAAACTCTAAGTGCACTGCCTGATTTTAAGTATGAAATTAGTACACTTTTAGTATACTTGAATTAACTACTTTTTGCTAAGGGTAGACCAAGACCAACTAACACTAAACCTTTGTTTTATGTCCTAATAAAGGGGTCTTCAACATTTCCCAGGCCAAGGACCCACAAACTGATGGCAAGATGGAGAGGGGACCCCTTAATTATATATATTGTATGAAATTGTGTTATATGAAACTGGTCCTTTAGTCACTCTATTACAGATGGAGTCATGTAACGAAAATAATTTCGCCCTGGGATAATAAAGTATTATTAAAGTATTTCTGAACTCAGTATTTTCTGAGTTCAAGGCTTTATACAATATATTTAGCCAAACAACCCCTTGTTTTTGTTTAAAAAACATGCAAATTAAACAAATGATTCTTTTAACATCACCTAAATCCTTTATCATTTAAGTTATAATTTGCATACACTCCTGGCTCTAATTAACAATCCTTGCCACTACCATTGACATGTCAAAGAGCTGTCAAAGTGCATTAAGAACAACACAATAGCTCTTGTTATTCACCCACAAATGCATTTCCTACTAGTTTAAGCTAAATAGTTGAAACATAAACAGGATGACTTTGATAGGTCTATCCACTTCATACATATCAAATATATTCATAATATAATGATTCTGATTTTTAAAAAAACTTTAAGAGAAAAGGTACTGATTACTTATAGTAATAGTTCACATTTACATTCAGAATCATGTGGCTGCATTTGTATTTTCTGTGTTGTAAGCTTGTCTGAATAAAGGAATTTACTGTTACGAAAGAAGTTTTGCAAGAAGGTCAACCAGTTAAACAAGATATTCTAGGATCTCTTTCAGGATCAATGAAGTCTGTTTCTAATCCTGTTGGCAGGAGCACAAATGTGAAAAAGATGAAAATGTGTTAAATATTACATAACTCTTACACATGACCCTAAAGAAATTGAATGGGTTACTTTTCTTCATTGCCTATAGGCAACGTGTCTGTTCCTGTCCTAATAACTAAACGAGAAAGGATGGCCTGGCTGATTCACCCATTAGAAATGTTAAACGTAAGCAGCACCTTTGTTATGCAATAACTGCTGCCAAAGCTTTAAGACGCAAGTTCTTATATAAATTGCTCCCTAAAAATAAGTAAACATTGAGTAAAAATATAATCAATTCAGTTTATTAATTTAGCGCAAATTTACAGCGCATGTAAAAGCGAGTGTTGGCCTAGATTAGAGCAGTGCGCTTTTGCTCTTAGAAGGGTGCAAGTATCCGGTTTCATCCCCACAGCCTCCACTTTGGGTCCCTGAGCAAGACTCTTAACCCCACCCTGCTCCCCAGGTGTCGCATAATGGCAGCCCACTGCTGAGGATGGGTTAAATGCAGAGGTAAATTTCTCTAATATGAGATCTGTAAAGTTCAATTATTATTTTTATTATGTAATCTTAATGTCATGATCTTGGCACTAATGACTGGTGTCATTCACCTCCCTAGCTCCGCCCAGTTCTCATTACCTTTCATCTGATCCACCTGCTTCAGCCTCTATGACATTTAAGACATCTTACAGAGACAACTCACTCAAAGCATACAAACAAATTGGTTACATTTTTTTATATAAGGGAAACCAGTCCATTGCTTTGATTTGTTCATATTGCAGGATTCTCTCCACCTGAAGGAGCTTGCAGCGGCAGTAGACATTTTCTTGCATAGTGTCTTTGGCCTCTACAGCAAAAACTCCCTTTTAACAGGGAGAAACCTCCAGCAGAACCGGGCTCAGTGCCAGCAGCCTTCTGCTGAGGCACAGTGGGGGTCAAGGAAAACACAAACACACAAAAGAAACATAGAAGAACTGATACGTGAATACTTTCTATGTTAAAATAGTAACAGTAGTAGTATCATAGAGCAAGAAAATAGAAAAGTTACAGAAAAGTAAAGTAAAAGCTAAGCCCATAGTTGTGTCTAGGACAGGCCTGAAAAACAGGCCAAATTAAACTCATCATCTTTAATAATGGAAGTTGTAGATGTCAGCAACCCAGCTGTGGCCTCTCTCCGGGATGGTTTAACAGCCAAATAATGCGCTAGACCATGTGATGCTAGGAGACGGAACATGAAATTAAAAGTTGCATGAATAAATAATGCAGAATTGGAGAATAAAAGTAGAGAGAAGCAGAATGCTGTCTCTATGTCCTCCAGCAGGATAACTACAGGGCTCATAATAACCTAAACAACTCTAGCTATGATTGGAACTTAAGGAACCATCAAATCTCTGATATAAGGAATAGCTTAGTTGTTTAAAGGAATAGTACACCCAAAACATGATTAGCCTTCATTTTCTACTCACCCCCATGCTGAACAACACTCTGGAGTACTTTTTTGATATCTCAAATGCATCTGGAGATCTGGGAGGCTTCTTGCTGTCTGCTGACATTCAAATAATGGAGGTCTATGGTGCCCGAGACAGAAAGGTCCATAAAAGTCCACAAAAAACGTGTCAATATTCCTCCATACTGCTCGTCCAATGTATTCCAAGTGTCCTGAGTGGGTAGCATCAAGAATTTACTCGAAACGAAGTCATTTAGAATGTTTTTAGAGCATAAACAGTAGTGTATAGGTTTTCCTGAAAGCGCGCGCCTGCGAGTTCACGACGCTACGGAAACCGCGGCAGACCAACCCAGACGAAAGTGCGCATTCAGCTCGGCAAAGAACTCATGCTCTTCCTCAACACTGAAGTCCTCAGACATTTTTCTTTCGTTGTTTCTTTCTTTGCACAGGTAAACAGCACATTTCTTCTTCTACGCTTGCATTATCGGCAGAGCAGACGCTGAATGCGCACTTTCATCTGGTTTGGTCTGCCGGCTTCCGTAGCGTCGTGAACGCTCAGGCGCGCGCTTTCAGGACATCCTATACACTACTGTTTATGCTCTAAAAACATTCTAAATGACTTCGTTTCGAGTAAATTCTGGATGCTACCCACTCAGGACACTTGGAATACATTGGACGAGCAGTATGGAGGAATATTGACACGTTTTTTGTGGACTTTTATGGACCTTTCTGTCTCGGGCACCATAGACCTCCATTATTTGAATGTCAGCAGACAGCAAGAAGCCTCCCAGATCTCCAGATGCATTTGAGATATCAAAAAAGTACTCCAGAGTGTTGTTCAGCATGGGGGTGAGTAGAAAATGAAGGCTAATCATGTTTTGGGTGTACTATTCCTTTAAGGTTTTATATGTGAGAATTTGATTTAACAGGAAGCCAATAAAGGGAAGATAAAATAAGAGATGACCTCATTTAAATTTTCATCAGAACTCTGGCTGCAGCTTTTTGGATCACCTGAAGGCTTTTATCTACATTTTCTGGACTAGTTTCTCAGCATCAGTCCTGGACCGAATATTTCCAACTTTCTGCAATATTCTAAAGATGAAAAAATGACATTGACAAAAATTGCATAAGAGAAATCTTAAATGAGAAGTCCTGATCAAAACTAATACCATTTTTTTTTATTGGAGGCCAATTTAATGCCTTGTAGATGAAGAAAAATGACTGACTCATCAAGTTCTTTTTGAAAGACTCTGGTCCAATGAAATACATTTCGGTCTTTTCTGATTCAAAAGTAGATAATTTTAAGTCCTCAGGTTTAATGTCCATGAGACTTGCCTGTAGTCTATGTAACAGGTTAGTCTTACAAGGATACATTGATAAATTTGGTAGAGTATCAGCGTACTCGTATCAGCATAACTTAATCCCATCCCAACTGATAGTTCTACCAATTGGTACTCCAAAAGTAACTCTGAGGCACACAGAAGATTATCACTAACTTGAACAAACTAAAAATTTTCAGACAAGATTTAAACCTGCCTAGTGCTGATCCCTTAATTCCAAATGCACATTGGAGCATTTTAAAAGGAAGCCACATTTATTTATTTTCATATTTTTTGCTTAATGTCATATTAATTGGATTGAGATTATGATTATTTACTCCTTTAGGATGAATTTCAAGACACTGTCTGAATTGGGCGGTGGGTTGGTAATAGTGGAAAAGCTGCAGAGAGGTGTATAAAAGTATGACTCCGTCTACCTGTATGGACTTAGGACTATTAGAGTTTA